TATTCCTCTCACGGTTAGTTTATTTTTTGCTGCTTTTGTAGACACATTACAGCCAAGCTTTGTGTCGTGACAGGTGGTCTAAATTACATTCTATCTTAATTAAAACTTGTCGAAAAGTCTTTAAAAGTGAGCTGCAGGAGCTCTGCTGTACCTGTGTACTGACTGAACCCCCAAAAAACAAAACAAAGATAAGTCTGCCATTGTGCTTTGCATCAAATCAAATCAAATCAAATCAAATCAAATCAACTTTATTTATATGGCACTTTTCATACAACAGTAACACAAAGTGCCTCACAGAGGTTAAAAACAACAAAGATCCAAAACAGAAAACAAAAAGAAAAGAGAAAACCCAACCCTCCCACCCCACATAGTGATACGAAAATATACATATACGCACACACACACACACACACACACGCACACACACACACAAGCTATCACTAAAGAGACATGGCCTAGCACTGAGACCACGGCCCATGGTCCACGGCCACAGGGAGCGCCGCCATAGAGACACCCTGACCCGGGCAGACATGAGGCCCCACACCGAGGTGCAGTGCCCTACAGCCACCCAGGTCAGAGCGGTCTCCCGATGGCACCCCCATCGGGAGACCAGGAACAACTCTCAGTGTGGTAGGCCCCCATGAGGAAACACTGGAGCTAAAAGCTGAGGGACTAAAACAGTACGATAGGATAAAAGGTATAAAAATAACCAAATAAACAAAAAGCTATTTAGCTCATACAATTGAGTTAGTAGCTAGGTAAGAATGATCTAAAACAGAGACATAAAATGCATCAAAACTAAAACCTATAGGCTAACTAAAATAACAAGATAAAAGTTAAATGAGATAAGAACGTAAAAAGAGGAAGGGTAAGAATATAAAAAATAAATAAAAAATAGATAATAGATGGATAAATCGGTTATAAGAGGAATTTAAAATAGATAAATAAAGAGATCAGTTAAAAGCCTGATTAAAATAATGAGTCCTGTCGTATGAAAAACATTGATATTTGGGAAGAATAATGTTAACCCATTTACATTTTCCCCACTAAACGCAGAAAGGGGAACATTCTTATTCCTTGTGGGAAGGTGATTTTATAAAAATAACTCCAGTGCCTCCAGAAGTCATAGTGAAACATTATTATGCTCCAGATGATGTTGGAGACCTTTGTGGTATTCATACAGATGCCCCATTAGAGCAAAAGCTGCAGCACAGAGAACAAGAAAGACACAGCACTCACCGGAGCAGGCTGGAGCTAAATGACTCGAGTCCGGCAGAACCTCTTCAGTGTTAGTGTTATGTTGGAAGAGATGAAAGGAAAGCCATAATCTCACTTCATAACCTGAGGGACAAAAGGATCTCTGTACACAGTATGTTTCTGTAGTGCAGGCTTCAAGCTGAAAATGAGAGATTTACTGCCAAAATTATAATAAGAAAAATAATAATCATGTAGATTACCTGAAAATATGAATTTCTATCATCCTCCTTTTTCCTCCCAGTGTCCTACCGGTATAATGGATGTGTGGTAAAGACAGAGAAAGAGAATATGTTACAGTCTGTTACTAAAATAGGCAAAAAAAAATCCCAAAAAACACATACAGCAATAATAATAACAATAATAATAATAATTCAACTCCCTTAAATTTGTAAAACATTTTTAGCCCTGTGATGTTAAACTCATTGTTAGTTTATTTAGATCAATCAGACTGTATTTAAGAATTACACCCATATATCACAAATCTAGATAGATTACTAAAAACAAATTGTTTCTTGGTGTGATTCATTTTTTGTCAGGGACAAAGTAATTTAACAAAGTCAGGGTTAGGCAATATATCATAATATGAGACTAGATATCTTCTTAAATTTTGGATATCATAATATTGTTGGTGTTGTTTTTTCCTAAAGGAAAAGGCTGCATTACAGTAAAGTGATGTAATTTTCTTAACTTTCCGGACTGTTCTAGCTGTGCTGTTATTTGTCTTTACCTACGTTCAATAATATCATTGTGTTAATATTTAATTTCATTTAATTTGTAACAGTCAACCCCACAATATCGGGGCGGCACGGTGGGGTGGTGGTTAGCACTGTCGCCTCACAGCAAGAGGGTTGCTGGTTCGATCCCGGGTGTGGGAGCCCTTCTGTGCGGAGTTTGCATGTTCTCCCCATGTCAGCATGGGTTCTCTCCGGGCACTCCGGCTTCCTCCCACAGTCCAAAGACATGCAGACTGGGGACTAGGTTGTGATAGTCTGGCGACCTGTCCAGGGTCTTGCCCAATGTCAGCTGGGATAGGCTCCATCAAGAGGATGAAGCAGTTAGAAGATGAATGAATGAATGAACCCCACAATATCATCACCAATTACTGATATCACGATATTTGGTCATAACTACTGTGATATGTGATTTTCTCCATTTGATTTCTGTGCCTAGCTGTAGTTCAAATACTAAATAATTTATGAGCAATTGTTAATTTTTTAACTTGTGGGGATGTCATGAGAACCAGTACTTAAGCACTAAGTCAATGGCAAAATTCTGAAAATGTGATTGCAGTTGTTTTCTCCAGCAGCGAAGGTATCACGGATGCAATCTTCGGACACGACAGGGCAGTGTATACACCTATGTATAAGTGTTCTAGTCTGTTGTTAAATGTCAAAGGAAGAAAAATAACGCCTAGCACCGAACAACAACAATAACGTGGAAGATGGTGACAAGTGCAGCTGGCTACACTGACTTAACAACCAAAACTGGATTTTTCTTATCATTCTTATTCTTATTCTTATTCTTCTCTGCTTATGCACAGCTGCAGGCTACAAAGAATTCATGAAGCTTGTTGCTGGATATGTTGTGGATGAAATGTTGCTCAGTGAGTGACTCACAGTGTTTTAGACAGAGCCTTGGGAAAATAAAATTGATGTTTTTTCTGGTTGCTAAGAGTTGAAAATGTATAACTTTGGGGAATATGCTGCACTCATCATTGTCACTTTTTAACCAGCCATCCAATCACAGTGGAGGAGGGGTGGAAGAAATAGCCTTTCACCAAGACTAATCATCTAATCTTACATGTACTGAACAACAACAACAGTGGAGGAAAAATGTGTTATATAGGTAGGTAGGTAGGTAGGTAGGTATATATTAGGGTGGACATGTCTGTAAAGGGAAGACTCGTGGGTACCCACAGAACCCATTTTAATTCAGATATCTTGAGTGAGAGATCATGGACCCTCTGTGAAAATGGTCATGCTGTTTTTTCCCTCGTCAAAATTTAGCCTAACTTTGGACTGTTATTTAGCCTTCTTCCTGAGAAGCTAGCATAACATGAATTCGATTTCCTAGGTCTTCTAGTTTCAGATGATACCAATTTTATAACTCAAGGTATAAAACTCAGCCGTCTATAGCCTCTGAAAGACAGCTGGTGAAAATAGCAGCACACAATTAAAGCAATAACAACAACAAAAAAAAATTAACATGTTGTTTTGCAATTAACACGTTTATGATAACAGCCCTAATTAATATGTTCCCTCACCCACAAAATCTCATGGACCCACGCAGACTAGTACTTCATGTTTTAGGCAGATCTTCAGGGATAAATAATAACATTTAAATGTATTTTAATTTAAATGTTAGGGAGTGTATAAGTACATGGGATTTATTTTGTTTTAGTCTTTTACTATGGTATTTAATGTGATATGATAACCTTGGAATATCACTCGTTTTGGTATTTCCTGCAAAAAATGTCTGGTATGATGACATGCCTTGTCACTAGTTGGTCTACTAAATAAAATATACAGCTTTCAGTAACATAAATGAAATGGCTTCAAACTGTAAAAAAAAAAAAAAGAGATGTGAGGAAGAAGATGTAGAGAAAGTCTTCTACTATTTGGAATATTTTAAAATATTAAAAAAAAAAGTATTCTGGTATGTTACTAACAATATTTTGGAGTAATGGCAACAGTGCCACAAATGCACAGTGCAGCATCCAGATGGTATACAGCATGCACAATATCCACTTATCTTGACCTTATTTTCAGTGAGTGAGTGTTGGGTGCATTTCAGATTTAATATATCAATAATTAGTTTTGCTAGAGATAGCGATAGAGATAAATGTTAGCAAAGTGGTGCACCATCTCATCAAGACCAGGGGCCTCATTTATAAAACCTGGCGTAGGATCCATACTAAAAGTTTACCTACGCTGAAAAGCTGAAAAGTGCGTAAGCAAAAAAGAAGTCGGATTTATAAAACCATGCCTACGCACACCTGCAAGCACTTTCCCTTTATAAATCACAGTCCAACCGGAAAGTTGCGCAGCAGGATTTGATTCATGTCCCTCCCTCTCCACACCCACAATTCACCATGTATGGTCATGCAAATTACCTCATGAATGTGTTTTGCATATAAATAGGCATGATGGATCCACGGCATTTCACGCTGAATCATGGCAGCAACCAGAAGAAAGAGGAACTTTTCTGAGACAGAGATCGAGGTGCTTGTGGATGAGGTGTCAGCGAGACGGGAAACTTTATTCGGCGGCCATTCAAGTGGCATTACCAACAAACGAAAAGCCACTGAATGGCACGCTGTGGCCACGGCAGTAAGCGCGGCTGGCACAGAGCGCAGTGTCGCCGAAATAAAAAAGAAGTGGTCGGATTTAAAGGTGGAGGCAAAAAAAAAAGTGGCTTTGCACCGCCGGAGCGTGGCGGCTACAGGTGGGTCCAGAAAACACATGAAACATGCACATGTGGTGAAAGTTCTGAAGCAGCATTGTAAAAACACAAAAAGGATTTAGGCACATTTATCTTTAAACAAAATCTGATAAATGCATGTGGAATTTGTTCTCTTGCACATGTAGTCTACATTTGTAAACTAGGCAATAAAAAAATCGGAATCTGCTAAATCAAAATATTCAAAGTGAAAACTGTTGGTCACATTTCAGATTAAATGTTGTGAATAAGTCCTAAATATAGCTACATCGAAATGTTAAATCTAACGGCACCCAATAGCTGCAATGTGGTTTTATGAATGAAAAATGTAACACTACTTAATCATGCTTGCAAGGTTCATTTTCTGTGATGTTGCCGCCACCCCTTTGTGACTCTTGACTGAGCAGAAAAAGTAGTTTTACACAGGTGGCGGCCGTACCATGGAAGAACCTACACCACTTCACACCAAAGTGGCTTCCATTCTCGGACCAGCCAGCATGTCTGGTGTTGTGTCAGAGAGGGAGGGGGACACAGATTTTGCTCAAGAGGAGAGTGGTAGGTTACAATTTCATATGTTTATTCAATCAAATGTTTGTACAGACATGTGGCAATAAATGTGACTTGTGTCCTCAGTCACGTTACAGGTGGTAGCAGTGGGCGAGGAGGAGGAGGAACAGGTGGTGGAGGAGATTCCCAGCACGTCTGGCACGGACCCGTCTGTACCCAGCGCGCCCAGCGGATCCAGAGTGCGCGGAGGTGGCCGGGTTCTCACCGATCGCGTCCTGGAAACACAGCGGGAAACCATCAGTGCCATCCGTGAAGTCAGGGATGAACTAACACAAATACGCATGGTCATGCAGAATATGTGTGAACTGATTTCATCTGCAACTGACGCAATAAAACAGTTACAAAAGTGAAGCGCACTTGCCTTTTTACACACGCCGCATCACTTCCTCACGTAGCCTTGCTCCATGCTGATGTTCCTCATGTCGGGGAGGTGGCTGTGGGTCGGGGTCTACGTGTTGCGGGGGGGGGAGGTCAGGTGGGAGAGGGATTGCATCCCTCAGTGCCAAATTGTGCAGTACTCCACACGCTCTTATAATTTTGCACACTTTTCTGGGGTGGTAGAGCAGCCTGCCACCTGAGGCATCTAAGCACCTCCATCTATTTTTTAGCAGGCCGATGGCGCGCTCCACAACGGAACGTGCACGGCCATGCGCTATGTTGAAGCGCCGTTCCTCCGCACTCTGCGGGTTTGGAAATGGTGTGAGGAGCCACCGCCTCAGTGGGTAGCCGCTGTCACCTGCAAGGTATAACCAGAGTAATTAAGAAGCAGACTCGAATTACAAAACATTCCACGAGCGCCACTCAGTGACAGTGGCAGCAACAGAATGGGCCAAATAGAGAAAAGAATTTACCCAACAGAACAAGTACAGTTGCATTATGTGAGAATGTAATACTTACCGAGGAGCCAACCATCACGACCAGCACCTGCCTGCAGTCTGTTCCCTACACCGCTGTGCGCCAAAATGAATGAATCATGTGTTGAACCAGGCCACCGTGCCACTAAATTTGTCAACACCATTGAGGGGTCACAAATTATTTGTACATTTATGGTGTGCACATTTTTTCGGTTCACATATACAAATTCGTTCTCGCTGGGGGCTCTTATAGCAATGTGGGTGCAGTCAATTGCGCCGATTACATTAGGGAAACCGGACATTGCTGCAAATTGCCTTTTGCTGTTGGCCTGTTCAACAACAGTGTAGGGAAACCTGATGTAGCGACTGGTCATTTGGATTATCCCATCCAAAACAGCTGGCAGTGCAGCACTGAGGGATGGCTGTGATATCCCAGACCTATTCGCACAGGATTTATTATTAATTTCTATTTCCTGAATAGAACAGAAATCTATAAATTGAATTTATATCAATAGACAATAAAAGAAATAGGCATACCTGTCGGATAATTCCCTCTGGAACGAGCCCGTTGCTAGGAAACCCAACGCTGTCAGCACTTTAATGTGTGCCGGTATGGCGCGGTTCCGGTGGGTTGGTCGCTCTAAAATTGGACTCAATTCAGCAATCAGATCCAAGAGCAAGGCTCTAGGTAGTCTGAAACGGCTTATTAGCCAGTCATCATCATGAGCCAGGAAATCTTCCCGATCTCGGAATACCCTCTCCAGTCGGATCCGTCCATTGGCATGGTCTTCGAGAAGTGCAAGTGCATCCATTGTGCCTTATTGCGCACGGCTGCCACTGAATGGCTATTTATATGCGCTCTTTCCATTAACCAATCGTTCTCACCTTGTCACAATTGTCTCCAAAATGTGCTTAAGCAAGGTCTGTAGTTTGCTTAAAGTTACGCACATTCCTACGCTAGTCTTTTTTTTATAACTCCCAATTCTTGCGTAAGAAGTTGCGTACGCACTTCCAAGCCCGGTTTTGTGCATAAGCAAGCTTTATAAATGAGGCCCCAGTTTATTTAACTGCCAGTTATGCTTCATATTGCAATTCAGACTTACAACTCAAGTGAATGTGTGAAATCTTAATCTACAGTAAGTGTAACAGGTGTATCTTTTCTGTTGATGTGTAATCATCTGAGCTGAGCTGAGCTGTTGATGTCAGGGGGAACACATTGTCGTCTCTGTTCTCTTCTTTCACGACGTGTATAGAAAATAATGTGAAACAGCATTAAAATGAATTTGCGGTAACCTCTTTTGCACGCAGTGGGAGGGCTGTGAGCTCTGGTAAACTCTGACAAATGAACAATGTCGAGTTTGTGAACAGAGGGCCTGTCGACAGCTCCCCTGGGACCCGTTCTCTCCATCACCAAAGCAGATTTTAATCAACAGCAGCTGCAAAGGTTGTGCTTTCCATGCTGAATGGGTTTGATGGGGTTTTGAATGATTGTGTCTGCCAGATCGCTGCAGTTGGTGGAATTATGGGCCGATAACTCATAAACAAGCTGTCTTACACATTCACCTCCCTGACATGGAATATTTGGGGTGTGTGGGTCAGGTCTGTTTGCTAGGCTTATAAGCTTTAATGCAGAAACTAATATTTGGACAGCTTTTAAGACATGATAGTGAGCATTAGGGAAACTTTTCTCAAGTGTAGAGACTGTGTGGATACAGAGAGCAAAACTCTGATGTCACTTCCTGTCTAGCCCCTGTTTCCCTTGCTTCTGTAAATCAATACAATCTCTTAATGTGGGTTTCTCTATAACTGTGGCTTAACAGCTACCGATTTGATGATCTTTTACCAGGTCTTGCTCTCCTGATTGTTAGCATGTTTCTGATGTCCACTTTTAGACATGAGGACATCGCTCTGCACCAGATTTAAATGACAGGAGGACCAGAGGGTTCACAGAATTACAGTAGGTTATTGGCTGTAATTATTACTGAGATGAGGGTGAAAAGTGACCCACATACATGCTCTGCACAGGATTAAAATCACTCACCAGCTCCAATAATGATAAAATCACTCCATCTCCCCTAGACAAAGTGTTGGGGAGTTTTTATTGTCTTCTTAGGTATTGACCATAGCGTTAGTTCAGGCAGGACACAATGTCAAGCTCAGCTCACATCCCAGCTGCACCTGCTGATCTCACGCAGCCCACTCAACTGATGGAGCAGCTGACTGATGGAAGGGATTCAGCTGATAGATCACATGATTCCATCCATGCAACCAATTGACAATAGAGCCCAAGTTGTCAGCTGAGATGTCCACTAGTGTTTGGACGATTGAAGCACACGTTAACAGCTGGTGTAAACAGGGTCTTAGCGACATGGGCCTCTAGTTTCGCAGACCGGATGAGGCGGAGGCGCAACGCACCTGCGCTTCGCCAACTGGGTGTGGCCAGGCGGATTTTACAAGTTTGGCACACCGTGCGCGCTGGCGCAGCTACTCCTCTTTTCCACCTCTGTCCCTCCTACCTGCGCAAGCCGGAAAGAGGGAGGAGAGAAGGCGTGGAGTGGGTTTTACACACATCACACCAATCAAATGAGCCCCTCTCCTCGCCCTTAAATGTGCTGCGCGAAGGCGTAATGAGAGTTTACTCAATTTGCCATGGCAGAAGAGAGCAGCAGCGTCAGACAGCCAAACTCCTCCCAGGAGGAAACTGATGTTTTGGTCCGGGAGGTCCAAGCTCGCAGTGTCCAAATATATGGAACTGCGAGCAGACCTCCACGGGCTGATGATGCAAAGGTAGCCTGGGAGGAGGTCACCACAATTGTAAATCAATGTTGCGTTTCTCTCGTGCGCGCGCGCTCTCTCTTTCTCTCTCGCAGTCTCACTCTGTTTCTGTTTAAACTTCTCTAAGATGACAGATGCTGAATATATATTCCCTATCTGATGCTGTGGCTGTTTGTGGTTGGCTGAGGGGGATGAGAACCCATTAGCTTGCAGCTGTGTTAATCAAATCAGGTTGGGTTTCCATTACGCGTGCCAAACATGCCAAACGGTGCCAAACGGTGCCAATCCCCTTTGATCTGACATCAGATGTGACGGGACAGTCAATATAGAGATACATTTAGGTGCTGATTGCAGATAGTTGCATTGAATAGTGGTTTTGTGGCTATTTATTGCATTGTTAATGTGCCTGATATTCTGGAAACCTGCCTGTGAGGTTTTGGTGATGTGTGCGCACTGTCCGCTGGTCAGCCAAACCTCGGCTTACACCGGCTGCGCTCCGCCTGCGCTGACAGTAGACCTGGTTTCAGCTGGCGAGCTTTTAGCGCACCTTTGGCGAAGCCTTTTGGCACGAAACTGTCACTGCACCAAGCTGGATCTGTTGACACCTCCCCCTGCTGCGCGCCACACCCATCTCAGGACACCTTGGTCTGCCAAACTACCAAACTCAGGTTGCGCTGCTTGAAGTTCATTCCAATACTGCTCAGAGTAATTGCAGTGACTCCTCCCAGGAGGGAGCCCTGTGCAGAGTTTAGTATGTTCTCCCCGTGTCAGCATGGGTTTTCTCCGGGTACTCCGGCTTCCTCCCACAGTCCAAAGACATGCAGACTGGGGATAGGTTAATTGGTGACTCTAAGTTGGCCATAGGTGTGAATGTGATATATACTGTACACACACCTATTTGGCTGTCCCCAAAGTAATTGCTCATGGTGGAAATTGTTGGGTAAATTAAAGAGACCTGCTCTTTATGAACGTGTCCCGAAATAACTTATGCTATGATTTGGCGTAATAGATGTACAATTAGCTTTACTTGACCTATACATTCCTGAAAACAGATATTGGTTCATAATTTTTTTTAATAAATAAATAGAATACATAATTTTAGATAGATAACAAATTGTTGACTCTCTATAGTAGGCCTACATACAAAGTATGTATTCTCAGATTCTTTTCTGATAGTGACTTATTTCCCTGTTGACTAAACAAATTTTTAATAATGGCTAGTTGACTAGTCTACAAAAGAGAAAACACTCAGAAAACAGTCAAAATTTAGCACAATTAATTGTTAAGTATTTGAAACATTGTCCCAAAAAATATTGTGTGCGTTAACAGCCATTTGAAGCCTTTAATCACAATCTTCAACAACCATGTCGGATTTTAAATGTTGCTGAAATACACTTTGTGGTATGAATGTGAACATGACAGCAACTCAGTCAAAGTTAACCACTTAAATAACCTCTAAAATAAATAAATAAATAAATAGATAAATTGCCTCTGAAATGTGGGGCACAATGAACCTTGCAGATTATCCGACGGAAATGATAGAAATTCAGTTAATAAAACAACATCTAAATTATAATTAAATTTCACCTGAAATGACAGACATTGTTGTGCCGTGCAGTATGAATGTAAATCCTGCACATTATCTGACAACAACTCACTGGAAGTTAAGAAATAATATAAAATCTCAAAAAAAAAAAAAAAAAAAAAAAAAAAAGATAAATTGCCGCTGAATTCATTTTCTAGATCAAAGTACTGCCATACCGCACTGGTTTTGCAAGAGGACATCTCTCCAATTTCCCACTGTGCTTTTTTAAACTCCAGCCTACTCGAGCATTACCGCAGGGAGGGGATTGCTGTCTGACGGCTCTGTAGCACCCACTAGTGGCGGGCGGCTGTATGACAGTTAAGCGTCCTTGTACATGGATAAAACACTAATAGGTTTAACAGAGTATTTCTGGTGCAGACTAGCGAGGTGGTGGGGGTTTAATTGTTTAGAAGGCTAATCGCGCGCATCCCTAATATATAAACAATTAGTTATAGATCTGTTGCACCTGATTTCTTCCATGAACATAAAACTTTCAGATTAAAGCAGCTGTGCGGAACTTTTTACCATTTATAAAACTGTCCCTAGTTCGTATCACCCCCCCTTGAAGATCCGCATATTTATTTGAACCCAACAGCGACAAAAAAGCCTTTCTCTATATGGCTATTTAACGTAGCCTCAGTCGGGTCGGACACAGCGTAAGTTAGCAAACCAGAACACGGCACCCGGAGGCAGTCTGCACACCTGCAGTGGCCCGCAGCCATTAAACCACAGAGGAAGAAGGAGCCGTATTTACGAGTAGGTTTTAAGAAACAGGCTAAATGACATGTAGTAGGGAGTAGTGAATGATTTTGGACACATTGCACACTCTTGTATAGTAGGTGGTGGTATGCACCTGGAAGTTGTTTGCGATCCACCAATAAATAGAGAGAAGAAGAAGAGCCGTGTTTACAGAGAGTGTTCTTCGAGTAAGCGGTACGCAATGGGCATTGCTGAACACATAACAGTTTTACCAGATGTATCTATAAGGACTTTGTTGTACTTTCGATGTCATGGCGGATAGAGAAGGAGCACCATCTAAAAAAAACAGAACAGAAGAACAGAAGAAGGGTTACATGATCATATTTCTCCTGTTTTAGCTTCTCTGCACTGGCTCCCTGTAAAATCCAGAATTGAATTTAAATTCCTACTGTTAACTTATAAAGCTCTAAATGGTCAAGCTCCATCATATCTTAGTGAGCTCATAGTGCCATATTATCCCACCAGAACACTGCGCTCTGAGAACGCAGGGTTACTCGTGGTCCCTAAAGTCTCCAAAAGTAGATCAGGAGCCAGAGCCTTCAGCTATCAGGCTCCTCTCCTGTGGAATCATCTTCCTGTTACGGTCCGGGAGGCAGACACTGTCTCCACATTTAAGACTAGACTTAAGGCTTTCCTCTTTGATAAAGCTTATAGTTAGGGCTGGCTCAGGCTTGCCTTGTACCAGCCCCTAGTTAGGCTGACTTAGGCCTAGTCTGCCGGAGGACCCCCTATAATACACCGGGCACCTTCTCTCCTTCTCTCTCTCTCTCTCGTATCCTATTACTGCATCTTGCTGACTCGGCCATTCTACATGTCACTAACTAGGCTTCTTCTCTGGAGCCTTTG